ACTGAGCCACCCAGGCGCCCAGCAGCAGGTTCTTCTTAAAAGGGAACGTGTCCCTCACTGTCAGAACCGGCCCACGGCAGGTCTGCGCATGCGTCTCTCCCGCCCTGGCGAGGGAGCGCCGCGGGGCCCTGACCCTGAACCAGCCTGCCGCGCCGCAGCCGCGCTGCCGTGGGGCCAGGCTAGCTTCCCGGCTGAACTGAAGGCATGAGGGCTGGTATGGCTGCTGTCATCACATCACATCTTAATGGCATATTTGCTGTCTGCAGGGGATTAACTGCTCTTAATTATACTGACAACCTTGTGTTCGGTAGATTTTATGTACTCATATGGTACGAGGGTATAAACTGCCTCTACTCAGCGGCGCTTGGACCCTTCCGCCCGAAGACCGCGCCTAGCACAGTGCCTGGTGGGCATGACACAGCTGCCAAAGTGCTGTCGGAAAATATGCAGTGATCAGTGGTGCTTTCAAAGGTTCTAAGGAACTCGACCGTGAGCCTTCAGCGGGGACAAAGAAAACAAGAGAAATGCCATGTTTAAGAACCAAATACTGAGACATTTAAAGGAAAGTAATGAAGGAAACATATCTTCAAATATGTTAAATGTTAATGGCAGCGTTGCTCACAGCCTTGGAAAACTGCAAACACAAACCTCCTTCAATGGGGGATGGGGCCAGTGAATTATGACATATACACTCAATAAATTCGTATCATACAGGCGTTACGAAAAGTGAAATAATCTGTATTAACATGGAACCTATCAAAGATGTACTACAGTGTACCAAAGTTGCAAAACTATGGACAGCTTAATTCCATTTTTGGACAAATACAAAAAAACACGTATATATTCAGGAAATATTTTAAATGTTGACAAATATCTACCAAACTGTTCAGAGGACTCAAATCATGTATTATATATCCTTACATTGTCTAACTTTTTTTTTTACATAAAGGATGTTACTATTATAAGCTTAAAAATACATTAAATCTTTTTAAGATAAAAATATAATAGTCTTATATAAAAATAAATACACTGGATCATGAGCAAACCCTAGCAGTTAACAGCCCTTGGTCTGTGGATTCAATAAAACAGCAGAAAAAGGGGGTAATAAGATAAGGATAGAAAACAACTGAGATTATAAACACGACTTACGCCTTTTTCCCCTTAATGGTTGAAAACTAAAATTAGGATTTAATTGATATTCTAAAGAGCCCTGCTAATTCTTTACCTCTAATCACATGAAACCCAATTAATATGTAAGACTGAGAACAGTTTTTAAAAAGGAGAATTTCTTAAATGAAGACACCAGCTGGGCCAGTCAGGGGCAGTAACTCTAATTAGACACAGGAAAGGCTGTGGGGTGGCAGGAGGGCCAGAACTGTGAATTCCCCTCCTACGTGTGAATCAGACAAATGACCATAAAAGGCAAATCATAACTCAGAAGACAGGCAGACTCAAGGCACCAACAATTCTTTTCTAGCTGCTTCTGAAATACTTCATTTAGGGCTTGAACAGTGGCACTATATTGCCCGACAATTTAAAAGTCTCCCCAAAAAGGCCGAAAAACGGAATGAACAGTGGCGGCAGCTGACCTCACCATCTCATGCGAGGGTCTGTCTCTCACATAACCACGCCAAACAGGCTCTAGCGATGTTTGAGAGGAAATGATCTAAATATGAAACGATTCAAGCTCCCGGTTCTTCTTTGAGCTCCTCCTTGATTGCTATCTACCAAATCAGATCAGGGAAACCTTACCTAGCAAAATAACAGGATCCTGACTGTATACTGGCCCTTTAACATGGATTTAAATCTACAGAAGAAAAGACATTTCAAAAAAAAAAAAAAGTCCCTATTTGCTTCACACTCAATTGGCATTTCGTAATGAAGCAGCCAATGCAGGGACGACAATGGAAAGAAACGTCATTAGTCTAGGGCACGGTTTCTTAACCTCAGCACTCCTGACATTTGGGGCCAAATGAGTCTGTCATGGGGGCCGTCCTGTGAGCTGTGGGGTGTTTAGCAGCATCCCTGGCCTTTACTCGGCACCAGGAGCTCTCTCTACCTGAAGTCGAAACAATCACAAATGTCTCTAGACATTGCCAAATGTCCCCCGACTAGAACCAACCACTGGTCTGGGGGAGTGGCTTCATGGCAGCCTCTGTGGAGCGGCTGTTTCATGAAGCATTTCTTCCCAACTTTATCCACTGCAATTTTTCAGCACACTGCAGGCCTGTTGGCGCCCTTGCCCCCAGCAGCCACACGCCCACTCATGTCCACACGGACTGGGTTGAGAAATGGTGATTCAGGGTGGGGTGCCCTCTAGGACAAGCGATTAGAAATGACTGAAGTTACCTCCTCTATGTAAGCCTTGGGGAGAGGCAGTCCAGCAGTAACCTGGAAGGAAAGGAAGCAAAGTCAGAGGCATTTTCTACTTACAATCCAATTTTAGCTTAAAAGGATGCCTTGCCAAGTGCAAAAGGCCAGAAGCTGCATCCCAGCGGGGGAGGGGTGGTTCATAGCAGGATACGGTTGTTTCCTGCCCAAAGGATTTAGGGTATCTGACCAACCCTACTGCATACAACAAAAATGACTGCTTTGAGCAGAGTGGGAGACGTCTGTGGCCTGAACGAAGGAGGTGAGGACAGGTATGTGAAGGCGGTGGGGAAAGGGATGTGTTCTAGGCAGGGGCATGAACCTCAATGAGCAAAGCACACAGCAGTGGGGGTGGAAGCCAAGGTGCGTGTTGGGAAAAAGGCAGTGGTCAGCCCTGCAAATGCCACCCTGAAATGTCCACCAACGAAGTCTGTGACGAGCCCTGTGACAAACCCTGTGACAATGGGTTCCTGAGCTGCCCCATGGAGCCAGCCCACGCCTTCATGGAGCTGAACAAGGGAGCACGAGCGATGCAAACAAGAGGGACCCAACACAGAATTTTCTCCCTCCATCAGAGTATATTTAAGGTGTCAGAATACACAGCAGTGAGCTCACTGTTCTGGAGGCTCCTGATGGCTTGGCCCTGCTGTACCCACACGGATGAGCATTGAGGTGAAGGTGCCAATTCCAGAGACTCCACTGTGAGCAGTGCAGAGTGCCTTAAAGCCTTCAGCTTCTCAGCTTGGTGTGCTCCCATTCCTCGGGGACGATAGTGCCCCAACTCCAAAAGGGGCCCCGGAAAGGCGGGGCAGGGAGCAGGGACCTGAGCCGCCATGTTCTGGGCCTTACATGCAGCTCTAAGAGGGAGCGAGAGAGCAGGGCTGCCTCCCGGACAGAGCTCTGTGTGGGATGCTCTCCTCTCAGGGCTGCCCAGGTTAAGTGTCTGGCATTATTTTTCAGACCCTGAGATCAGGAGGAAAGAAGGTACAATGGCGCAAGGGGAAAACATGTTGGTTATAATTGGGGAAAAAAGGGGAGTCCATCCTGCACTCCTGGGCTAGACTGGAGAGGTGTGCTGGGGCTGGGTTATGGCAGTGGTTCTCATAGTGCGGTCTGGGGACCTCATCCTTTCATGGGGTCCATGAGGTCAAGACTACTTCCACAATAATTCTAAGGTATCATGGTTCTTTCCACTCTCATTCTCTCATGGAGTGTACAATGGACTTTTGCAAAGAACATGTGACGTGATCACATGCAGAAGGTGAGAGTCCAGTGGTCTTCAACTAGGCTAGATCCTGAAGAGATCTGAACAATGTACAATGCTTACATTTTGTTTGGGAAAATTTAACAACTTTTCATTTAAAAAAAAAAAAATATATATATGTGTATATATATATATATATAATTTGGGGGGCATCTGGGTGGCTCAGTCAGTTGAATGTCTGACTTCGGCTTGGGTCACTATTTCAGGGTCCTGGGATCGAGCCCTGTGTCCGGCTCTATGCTCAGTGGGGAGTCTGCTTGTCTCTCTCCCTCTGCTCTTCCCGGGTTCTCTCGCTCTCTCAAATAAATAAAAAATCTTAAAATACATATAGAAATATATGTAATTTTTGTTGCTATGTAACTCAGCTTCAGTTCCTAATACAGTAAATATCATAGCTATAACCCACTGAGACAAAAGTTCTTGCAGGTCCTCAATAATTTTGAGAGTGTAAAGAAGTTCTGAAACTAGGGGCACCTGGGTGGCTCAGTCGTTAAGCATTTGCCTTCAGCTCAGGTCATGTTCCCAGGGTCCTGGGATCGAGCCCTGGGTCGGGCTCCCTGCTCAGCAGGAAGCCTGCTTCTACCTCTCCCACTCCCCCTGCTTGTGTTCCCTCTCTCGCTATGTCTCTCTCTGTCAAATAAATAAATAAAATCTTAAAAAAAAAAGTTCTGAGACTAAAATGCTTGAGAACTGCTACGTTAGGAAAACCCTGATCGCTACACTAAGAAATACTGATTTTAAGTGAAGGAGGTTTTATTTCTCATGTCGCAAGACTGGCTTCTGGAATTTAATAAGGCTAGGAATCTAATACTTCTTCAAATAATTTCTGAAAACTATCACCATGTCTTCATGTGCAGGCGCTGAAGAAAAGGTATTACAATAATAGGATAAAAGTGCAATTTCTAACCAGTAGAAATTCAGGAAAACACAAAGTTCAGGTTGGAGTTGAAGATAAACTAGTCCTGACCTAGTTTCTCTCTGTTATTCGGAGGCAGTCCAGGGCATATCTACCTTTCTCCCTTTCCTCCCTCCCAGGCTGGGCTAGTCTCACCCAGCACGCACCTTTCAAAAAGGGGCTGACCTCTGTCTCAGCTAAATGGTTTGGTTGGCTGGCTGCCCATGTCACTATTTAGAGGGAAAATGGGACTTACTTAAAAAGAACAGTCTGAACATAAAGGAGTTTTCTGTGCGTCTAGCCAAGCACACGTCTTTGGTTTAGATATTATCAGAGGTTCCCTCAGAAAGACCGGCCATGAAGCCAATTTCCACAAGTGATAAGGTGGCCGGCATGAGAGCTGTGGAAACATCTCTTGCTCTCAGCACCCTATTAATCATGAGGATAAGAGCAGCTTAATGAAGAAAGAGGGACAAGTCATCCCAACTTCCTTTTAGCCTTCAGCACACTGCTGAGAACCAGATTCTTTGAACTCCTGATCCTCACCGTGGGGCCGCCTCCGTGCATCTTAAGAGCCCTGACTGTGGCCACAAGCACCACGACGTGAGGGCGGAGACCAGAATACCGGCATTTGATGTTAAAAAACTTTTCCATTCCAATGTCCGCTCCAAATCCTGCTTCAGTCACTGTAAGTGAGGAGAAAAGCAACTGTAAAAAGGCCATCCCAACTCCCTTGATGTTAAAAGAAAAACACCAGTTTATTCACAGATTTTGCAAAAATACTAACCCACAAACCCCTCAGGGCCAACAAGCTTGAGGGCAATCCGGTCTGCAATGATAGAAGAATTCCCATGTGCGATGTTGGCAAATGGTCCAGCATGAACAAATACTGGAGTGCCCTGTGGAAATCAAGATGGCATGGGCAAAGCTACCACAAATGGGATCATGTCTTTGGGAATCCAAAAGACAAAGACTTCCCAGCAGAGAAATACAACGCCACCCCTTTTATATTTCAGCAACATCCCAATCACAACAGTGAGAAAGAATGGGAGGAAAGAGATGAGCAGGTAGAGAACTCTCTGACTCCCCACGAGAAGTGTGCTTTATAACCACTCTGCTCTGACACGGAAGACCGATTCAGGAAGGCAGGAGTCGCTCGGCTCACCTCTAATGTCTGCATGAGATTGGGCTTGATTGCATCCTTCATAAGCACTGTCAATGCACCACTCACCCCCTACAAGACAAAGGCATGACACCTTGTTTCCTAGCAGCAAAAACCCCCAATCTTTTGAACCAAAACTCAACATTCTTAGATCTTCCCTTTTTAGTGATTGTGCACCAATTGGTACTTTCACCTGAACTAACCATCCATTTACTTATTTTTTTCTGGATATACTATGAAGTTGTCTCTTATTTCAAGCAGGAAGAACACACACAATGAAAATGACATTCACGGGCGCCTGGGTGGCTCAGTTGGTTAAGCGACTGCCTTCAGCTCAGGTCATGATCCTGGAGTCCCTGGATAGAGTCCCGCATCAGGCTCCCTGCTCAGCAGGGAGTCTGCGTCTCCCTCTGACCCTCCCCCATCTCATGTGCTCTCTCTCTCAAAATAAATAAATAAAATCTTAAAAAAAAAAAATGACATTCACATGTAATTTGTGGAAAAACATGTAACTCCGGAAACAAGCATCTCAATCAAGCACTGTTGTTGACTGATGAGGGAATCCATTTGAAGCCAGTTTATAGCACAGAAATGCTAGCTTTTAGAGAACTGAATTATTTGTAACTTTGATGTCTGGGCAGAAATGACTGAAAACCAAATTCAGTGTGTGTTTTCCAAAGCTGAAACTGAAAAAGTACCCAGGAGTTCAATACACACTCTTAAATATCAGGTCCCTCTTTTAAGCCATCCAACCATAGTTGAATAAATTGGTAACAAAGTAAGAAAAGGCTATGGATCCCACCTATATTCAATTCTGGTGAGTTTCTAAGTTTCTGGTTTGGGTGTAAAAATTTAAAACTACTTCCTGTCTTACACATATTGACTGTAAAAACAGGAAATTAGTATTTTCTCCCTTTTCTGAATTTAGCTGACAGACTGCTAATCACAGGCCAAACATTTTGGTGTATATCAACATAAACAGGCTTTCAAAAAAATTAATCTGTAAGATGATTTCATTCTAAACCTCATTTTACCACACAGACAGTTCGGAAATAATCCTGAAGTGGAGAACTAGCCTAGGAGGGCCATCAGACAAAACCGGCTAATAAGTTGTTCCCAATGTGGTTATTAATGTGGAGATGGTGGTCAATAAGCCTCATGGTAAGAGGGAGGCCTGTTGTGGGGAGAAGCCAGGGTGTGACTCCAACCTCAGCAGCTAAGGACCTCACTGGGACAGTTGACATTCTCTGCAAACTGAGGTCATACACCCACTTTTAGAAATACTCACAGGATGAAGATGTTGCTCAAATCATCTGAAACCTGTGGTCTATTACTGGAGCATACCACCTGTTACTTGCTATGAGGTACTTTTTGGAAACTTCATAATTCTCTTGTAAGTAGCAAAATCACAGAGAATTTATCAGTAACCGCTGGGATACCCTAAGGCGATAGACCCGGAGGCATCACCAAGCCTCTGGGTCCCCGCAGAGCACCCTCTGAACACCCGGGTACCCACCAGATCTTCGGTACTGATGGGCTCTCCTTTCTTGCTGGATGCCACCACCATTCTGCTCAGTCTCTCTCTCATGTCTTCTAGCGAACTGGTGAGAGCCAGCACAGCCATGATTTCACTGGCCACAGAGATATCAAACTGGGCCTGTTGGCCGGGAGAAGACACAACAGGCAACACTGCATTAAACCAGAAGCGTGAGTTGCAAAAGCAATCCTTGTTTGCATCCGAGGCTTACACAAATAGCCTCAAAGGACAGAATGGCACAACGGTACACAAAGAACTTAATGAAAATAATTCTCCAATAGCAAAAATTTGTCATCAATGATTCCAGGACCTTGAGTCGCCAATTTTTAAAAATAAATGTTCTAGCAGGACCAACAGTCTCTGCCGAAGGAAGCTTGTAATCATGTGGTGATGGTTTCCCTAACACACAAGGAAACAACACAGAAGCTCTTACAACCAAGAGACATATTGTGAACGGCCACACACAAAAAAGAGGCAGTTTTGATCCATTTATGTGCAAGGATATTCACCGGGGGCTCACCACCTCCAGGAAAAAATGCTGGGGGAAAAACACACAGGTGGCACATGGGATTTATTGCAAAAGCTGTCAGGAGTGCTCAATGCCACACACCTACTCACTTCCATTTTAAAAGGGAGAAGGCAGAGTGGCACCTGGCAGTATCAATCGTACGGGAGAGGATGGAGGAGGACAGAAGCAGCAAGATCTGCTTCACAGGAATAATTCACTTAGAACAAATAGCTACCGTCCGTGTGTGCCCTTTCTCCGTTGGAGCCTGTCCGATGGTGATCTTCCTCAGGAATCTATCATTGGTATCCAATACTGTAGTAGAAAGAGAAGGTACAGAACAATTTTTAGTAAAAGGACCATAAAGTTAAACCAGCAGTCTTAAAACAAGTCCAACTTAATGACTGTCTATTAACATTTGATTTCAAAGCTGATGGTGAAGCTAGAATATGGGTGCAAGTTAAGAAATGATGCTCACATGCCATAAATGAACAGGAATTATTTTTAAAGAAGGATATGTTTATTTACTTTTATTTTATTTTTTACTTTAAAAAAAGATTTTATTTTTAAGTAATCTCTACCCCCCAACGTGGAGCTCAAACTCATGACACACGACCCATGATCAAAAGTCGCATGCTCTACTGACCTGAGCCAGCCAGGCGCCCCTAAAGAAGGATATTTTTAAGAAATGTGGAGTGGCTTGGTTTTATTCTGTCTACAGAATTCAAACCATCAAGGAGAAATCTGGCATCTATTTTAAAGCCCACTGCACGTGAAAAGAAAAACAGAGCAGGCCAGTTTTTTAAAAGGCTGAGGTTATTGTTCTGTGGGATGACTCACTGACCTTACACCATCCTGAGAGACAAAAGAGCCATAAAGGCAGGGCAAGGCAAATGCTTTCTGAAGCATGCTAGGTAATAGATCTGCTCTTTCCTTCGGCACACTTAGAAGAAATAATTTCCATTTCGATGACAGAATATCTATCCAATTGTATACCCTTGGAAAACACAGCAAATATCAACCAACTAACTAATCTTAATTTCACCTTTCAGGACTAATTACTGTTAACATTTTAGTGCATTCCCAATTTTGTTTTTTGTATGACATGCCAAATAAGCATAAAACACAAAACGAACAACAACAAACCAATTCACACTCTAAATGGGTCAAACGGGAGAGGCATTTTTAAGGCACTTGATCACATGGGAAATTATTTTCCATAAAGACTGCAATAATTTAAACCCCCAAAGCAGTGTCTTGCACAGTGTGAGCATGTGTGTGT